AAGCGACTAAATAATGAAATGTTTACAATAAATTAAAAACAGAAATAAGAAAATCAATAATTCAATTTCTAAAATCGGCCAGGGGGTAAAATTCCAGGGGGGTAAAAATCCGGGGGTAAAAATCCGGCCCGTACATCTTCACTTGTCTAAACTCTAGTTATATGGACAGAGGGTAAAATTCCGGGTTTTATCGCGCTAATCTAATTAATCACGCTCTGGCTATTTTCATTAGACTTCCAAATTCGCAGGGGTAAAATTCCGGCCGCGAACAAATTTTGGCCACTCAGGTTACTACGTCATAGTGACGTCAGCTTTGCCCAGGGGGTAAAATTCCAGGGGGATAAAATTCCGGCGACCCCTCTAGTTTTGGTCTTTATGTTCACCCATTTATTGCGCAATCGCAGGGTTTTATTAATATGTATCTTAGAAACTTAAAAGCAATGTAAAGTATACTGTTTTATATATCATTTTGTTTGGAAAATTATGGGCTTTAATGTAACATATAAAACATTACAAAATAAATGTTCAATAATTTTTGTGGGGTTAACATTTCTCAAAAATTATAAAATAAATGAAAAAAATTCATGTTTGCGCTTAGTAAATTGTTATAGTTTATAGGTCTACAAATATTTTAAAATAGCCACTTTGTTCAGAATTTTATGAGGATTCCAAAAATATAATATAATAAGGAAGTAGGTTTGCAAATAAATAAGTTATAGGCAAAAAACAGATTTCCGTACATAGTGTTTAGCTAAGAATGCATAGCCTAACCATAGCTAGGAATCTGGCTGATAATTTACATCAATATCACTACCTACTTCTTCAGGATCATCAACCAGCCCTTCAAAATCACTTAAATCTTCTTATAATGCACCACGTATATCACTACTTTTGATTTTTAACACTAAAACAATGATAAAAGTAATAAAACACATCAGTCATCGGTGCGAGGTTAACCAAGCTGTTTACAAATACGCATGTCAGCTGTCTGCTACAATATTTTCGGAACTAAAATGAAAAGCATATAGAAACAGACATCAGGAGAAAGCTCTGAATCTGCTGAAAAAATGATACCTAACTCGATCCAGTTCAATCCGATTCAGTCAGTCCCAGAGCCGTCGCCGTATACAGTGTTTGTGAGTCGCAAAAGCGACACATAACACTACAGCGGATGTGTTATGAGTCGCTTTTACGACACACGCTTTTACAATTTAAGGAAATGCAACCTACAAAAAATAAAATTTGAGTAACCTGGTTGAAATTAAATATTTACTCTTTGAATTTGGGTTTGCGTATATATTACATTGGAAAAAGTGAGAAAGCCTGGACAATTTGATATACTATGCAAATAATAACATTGAATTGACATAGTACTGTATTTCTTGACAATCGTTGAACAAACCGATTTGCAAACAATGGAAACATAAAAAGTCATAGAACGCCACCGAGTAGAAGAAATAGAGATAGTGTTTTTAAGAATTTATCATCGTTATTAGCCTATATAATTAAGAGCACCTACAAGATGAAGGATTCCTAAAAACGATAAACGAGGATGTTAGCAGGAATACTTTTTAGTAGGAGGCAAGGACTTAACTTTGTGATCATTGCAGAGGAAAGCCCTCTAAGGCTAAATAAATCTGGTAAGTCAAGGACATTGATCTATGTTTCCATAAAAGTCAAGTGATTTTAGAACAGTAGCCTATGACTACATACAAGAAACCCTTACCAACATTGTCATTGAAGGATTTAATTACTATCCATAGTTAAGCAAAACAAAAACCAACTGAAAAACATCAGGCATTTTACCCTACATTTTCTCAAGTAAATATAATTAACGTTATTGTTATTGCAACTATCCAAAAGATAGGTTATGGAGGAAGTCCTTAAGGTAATGAGAACAAATTTTATCTTTATTAAAGAATTACTGTAATTTGTAAACTTACTGCTGGGGACAGGGGTGGTACCATGCAGGTTTATCAATAACGAAGATAGACATGGACAAAACCTAATGCGGCTATAAGTCAGAAAATGTTTGTAGAAAACACTTAAAAACAATATCAGCTAATGAAATTAAAGGGGTAGCGGATTTCTACCCCCGGATATTTACCCCCATGAAAAAACGCCTACGTCATTTTGACGTCACGAGGGGCGGGGCCTATACACGGTCGAGAAACAGCCCGCGACTGGAAATTTACCCCCAATATATTATTAAATAATCAACATGTAATTGTTTGATTATAAAGTGATTTGCCATAGCACGGAAATCTACCCCCGGATATCTACCCCCAGACATTTACCCCCGGATATCTACCCCCGGATATCTACCCCCGGACATCTACCCCCGGATATCTACCCCCGGAAATCTACCCCCAGATATCTACCCCCGGACATCTACCCCCAGACATCTACCCCCGGACATCTACCCCCGGACATCTACCCCCGGAAATCAACGGCTCTTCGGTTAAGCATTGTCTTGTAATATCCAGTATTAAGCATGCGATATGTCATTGTCTTGTTTAACATTATCTATCTTCCTAATTCAGTAAGCTGTAACAGTCCTTTTTTCACCCGACCTTCTTCGCCGATTGTTACGATTGAGGTGTCATTTTAAAGCTTAAGATCTTGCGCAGAGCAAAATGGCAATTAAAAAGGATATTTCGATTAGGGCTTCAAAAGGTTGACCCCTAAGCCTTTGATTTATTCCTAGAAGGTGCTTCCAATGGTTGACCAACTTTCACACTATACAGTAACAGTTTTAAAGGTGAAATGTGAGCAGATTACTAATCAGTTCCATTTTTAAGTCAGGTTGAAAACCAGAATAGATCGTCTGCATCTGTAAACAAGAGATGGAACACTACCCCAAAACGACTTTTCGTTCTCAATTGGCCCTCTATCAATAACCTGTGTTGCCTGTACAGCGAGGCATTTTGAGAAGGAGAAAACCAGCCGGATGAAAGCTTTAGGTTTATCAATAACGAAGATAAACGTGGTTTTAGTTACACACCGGTAATCTTTGAGTTGACTCATTTAAACTCATTGTAAATATTCATTGTTATTCATTTTGAAATAACTCCTTTAATACTTTGCAATTGCTCGAATTCGAGCAACATGTACACTAAATACATATTTTTGCACTTACGATTTATTTGATCCGTTTATTTACGTGAGTCACAACGTTTTTAATCTTACTTGGTTTTGGATTTTATTACAAAACATGATCGGAAATGGTTGCAGTATTTGTAAACTAAATGTAATAACAAATTTCCAGTGACAGCTAGAAAAAAATCATCTTTATCCAGCTTTTCATCTTTCACAGCTGTTCGGTATTTCATTGATGTCGTATTCTCCAAACAAATTATTAGTATTTCATTAATTACTGGTAAACATTAGGAGTAGACTAAACTTGACAAAAATTCAAAAAATTGGGGGTTTGAACCAAATTTATTTTAATTCAAAAGTAGTGAGGCCATATTTTAGTGGCTTAAGTTACTCGTGTCAATCCACCGAATCCAAAAAGGCTATTTAAATCGAATCACGATCGATGCTCTAGTTTTTGAGAAGAAGGCCACGTAAAATGCCTTCTGGGCCTTGACAGACAAGACATAAATTGAGATAAAGACTTGTTTTGGCTTCTTTAATGTATGAAACGTAAAAATGACAAAAATAAATAATTTTAAGCAATGTTCATACTAAACTCTAATTTCATTAAAATAAATTTGTAAAACCAAAAGAACCATGAGGTAAAAATACCTTCCCTATCCCGAAATATCCAATTTTATGCTTTTACATTATTCTCCGTTATTTCACAACCAGCATTGACAACCAGAACCAATCATAAAATATGTTTATGTTTTATTTTTTACGATTAATTATATGTGTAAACAACTAGACTTTTTAGCCAATGTAAAACTCCGGATAGTGTCTACGACATAGGAGGTAATTACTACTTATTACTAGGAGGTAATTGATAGTGAAAAAATTATTAATTCATTAATCTACCTGTGGCAGGCTTTTTATGAACATTTAATTTCATTTTTACCACTAGTAATCAGAAAATAACCTCCTTCAGTGATATGTTTTAAATTTCACGATCTGCGCTCGTGCATGTGCCGTTAGCTATGAATGTATGTGAAAATTGGTTAACAATTTAAATCACTGTCTGAAAATAAATCAAATGCTTATGGGTTACACTTTTGGAGCCCTTTATCAAAATATCCTTTTTAATTACCATTTGCGTTGCACTGAATCTTAAAGCTTAAAAATTACACCTAAATCAGTAACAGCTTAATGAATTGGGAAGATAGATTACATTAAACAAGACAACGACATATCACATGCTTAATACTAGATATTAGAGAGTAATTATTAAACGAAGAGCCATTGATTATTTTTATAAACCAATTACTAAAATCAACTACAACAATGAATATTGACCGATACGTAGTGTAGCACGGGGGGTAGATTTCTGGGGGTCGCAAATAAATATTCCGGGGTCGGACATTTATGATTTGACCACTGGGGGTACATTTCTGGGGGTAGATTTCCGGGGGTAGATATCCGGGGGTAGATGTCTGGGGGTAAATGTCCGGGGGTAGATGTCCGGGGGTAGATGTCCGGGGGTAGATGTCTGGGGGTAGATTTCCGGGGGTAGATGTCCGGGGGTAGATGTCCGGGGGTAGATGTCTGGGGGTAGATTTCCGGGGGTAGATGTCCGGGGGTAGATGTCCGGGGGTGGATGTCTGGGGGTAGATTTCCGGGGGTAAAGTTCCGGTGTCAGGTTTATTAGCATTTTGATTAATTACAACTGTTAAGTAAACCGTGAAATGCGAGTTGATTGAATATACAATAATTTATCCATCCTAAAAGTTCGCGGCCGGAAATCTACCCCCATACATGTGACGTCAAAGTGACGTAGGCGTTTTTTCATGGGGGTAGAAATCCGGCGACCCAAATTAAAATATTAATTCTATATTATTTTTATATAAATAAAAATTACTTACGTTAAATGTGTTTTTTTAATATGAAAACGAAGAATGGCAAATGTACCATAAGCTTTCTTACAGTATTGACATTTGTGTGGCTTGTCCAAACTATGTATTTGCTGAAAAAAAATACAAAAAATTATGATGAGCAGTGGTTGGATCAAGTGAAATTCTCAAGTTATTCAAATCTTTAGTCTATTCAGCTCAAATAAATCAAAACTCTTCTATGTTTTGGTTAATTAATATGCATTTTAGGGTCTGCACCCAATTAAAAAAATGGTTCATTCTACTCGAAATTCAAAGCTGATTCCAAAAATGACATTCTTTTTCCGCAGAAAAAGTCTGTAAAACCCGTATAAAGATAAAAGAATTGCTTATCACAACATGTAACGTGGGTAATCAAATTAACTGGAAAAACAAGCAGATCACAAATATGAAATATTTCTTTTGATTTGACATGAAATAAGCCAGACATTCACGAAAATGTGCGTTAGCTAGGTTAGGGGTACCACTATCTTAAACTTTCTAATAACTCTCTTCAACTATTCTTTAACATAAACACTGCAACTTTATAAAATGAATTGTTGGTGCTACTACCTTTTTTTTATTACTAATTAAATACATAAGCAATAACCTCTTAAGGGGGTCTGTGAGAATTCGGTGGTTTAGGGTGGGGGAGACATCCACCATGGTTGAAAATAGGGAGAAAAGGGTAGTTAGATGGGCAAAAGGCAATTGTACAGGTAACAATGGGTATAGAGCTAGGAGGAATGGAAATTTTATATGAGAACACAAATTGAACATTGATCTTATTTAGGCGTGTGGGGAGGGCAGTTCGTATCTAGGGGGGTTCGTGGCTGCATTAAGTGTAATAAGTTAGGTTAGATTAGGAAGGTAAATTGTAGGTTATAGTCTACTGGGTTGTTAATTGTGTTGAATCCATATAGGTTAAAGCGATTGGAGTAGTTGGTTAAACATCAAGGGAATGATTTCAAAAATGCTTCCAATAGTTTAAAAATATGGATTCAACACAAATAACAACCCGGTAGACTAAATAACCCGCACTTTAGCTTACCTAATCTAACCTATCTTCAGCAGTCACAAATCTGCATAATGCACGGCCTGCCCTCATGCTTTTTCTCTTATAAAACTGATTAATTAGCAAGTTTTATTTAGCTTAGAAGATTAGTTTATCAAGATTAGTTTAGAACAGTTTCATTTGATAAAAAATGCTTATAATACGGGTTTAAGAGTTCGTAAGAGCTACATGGTGAAATCTAAAGTGTAACAATTTGCTATTAAAATGGGTAAAGCGCAATAATTTTCTAATAAAAAAACAGGTAGGGTACAATAATTTGCTATTAAAACTGGATTAATGGTATAATAAACAGGGGAGTTTTCAGGGTATTTTTAGGGTATTCCGTAATCGCGCCACACATCTTTGTAGATACCTTGCTTTTTTGAAGTCAGATCAAAATAATTTTGCATGTTCATGATCTGCTCGTAAAAAAAAAAAAGAATGTAGTTGGAATCAGCATTGAATTTCAAGAAGAATGGAAAAAAGTTTTCAAAAATCAGGTACAGACCCTAAGATGCATATTCACCGAAGTGCATATTTACACAAATTAGAGTTAACATAATAATCCATATGATATATAACAACAACCAATAATGTAAATAACACCCCTGGAACCGCCGCAATGTGGGAGGTGCCGAGGTCCAACTGTTACCGCTCACCCAAATCCCAGAAAAAGGTTATGTTGTTTCCATGAGACGTTGACGATGTCTTCAAGAGCGAAGAAGATATACTACTTACACCACTGACCAAACTCCGATCAATCAAAAATAAAGGAGGCAAGGCCATTTTGGGCCATTAAAGTATTTGGTTAATAAATAGTTGGCATTTGAAGGTTATTTCAGTTCAAAGGGATCTAAAATAGTTGTTTTTAAAATCTACAACCGTATAGTGTAGTTTATACACAAAAAAGGAGTTTACTGCATAACAAGATTTTTTATCCATACAAAAGCAAGTTTTTTTAGGTTTAAACATTATTTGCATTGATTGTAGTGGTACAAAAAGGTCATTGATGCAGTACTATTTAGAAAATATCTAACAGCTGTTGTGTCTAGGACTGTCAATTCCACTATGTTAGTATCGAGTGATTCAGTAATTTTACAATTTGAAACACATCCAGCTACACCTCAGCTGGCCTCTTGTACCCTGTGTAATGAAAGTAAACCCAGATTAATTGTAATCAGAATAAAGGGTTTTATTAATCTGAAAACTGAACTATGAACAATAATGGAATATAAACAAAGCTGAGTATTTACTAATAACATATGACAGTAAACATATTAAATAATCAATCATGTGAGTTAAGTTTAGTTGTATTTATCATTGACTGTAGATTTTATTCCCTACATTCTCCCCTCCTAGATAGAGAATAGTCTTTCAGGTATTTTGGAGGATATCTGATTCTTGATGTTCACCTTAGGCTAGGATTATACTAGGACGCTGGCGTCCGAGAGGCCAGCGTCCGGGACGCTTGCGGGGCATTAAATCAAATGGGGGCGATTATACTATGGATGCTGGCGTCGGATGCTAAAAAAGCCACCGGACGCTCGAAGCTATTACCGTAGGTGGCATGGTAAGACCTAGGCCCGGGACCGACTAAACATTGAAATAAATTGGCAGTCCGAGAGGCTAGCATCCCAACACAAATCACGTCATTTATCGGCTCGAGGTGGGACGCTAGCCTCTCAGATGCCAGCATCCCGGACGCCAGCGTCCTAGTATAATCCTAGCCTTAGTGTTGCTTGACCATCACTTAAACTATTCAACTGGTCAGCTTTGGTCTGGTTGGAGTTTGGTTGAGATTGATAGACAGTTGGAAGTGACTGAACATGTGTGTTCAGTTGCTGTTGTTTTGTCTGAGAGATGGTGTCTTCATTTATGGTCAAATGACATTCTTCCCTGATGTCAGCAAGCTCAGGTTCATCTACACTTTTCTCCGTATACTCTTCAGAACGGTTTGTGAGCTCAATGTCTCCCCTTGGAGCCAACTGTCTAAGAGAGACTGTCTTTTCTTCTCCATTTGTTAGTTGTATTGTTGCGTAGTTAGGATTAACGTCAATCAGATCAACTTCGTCAACCAATGGATCATATTTACTTTGTCTAACATTTCTTTTCAATAATACTTTTTGGGATTCAAGAAGCCAAGTTGGTAAGGACTGACCGTTGGAGGATTTTCTCGAATGAATAAACATCCGTTCATGTGGAGTCTGGTTTGTGGCAGTGCATAGAAGCGAACGAATAGCGTGCAGGGAATCATTTAATACAAGTTCCCAATTATGTACTGAAAGATTGCGACTTTTTAACAATAGTGTAATTGCTTTCCAAATTGTACCATTATACCGCTCGATTTGACCATTTCCTTGTGGGTTATATGGCGTGGTTTGGCTTGTCACTACACCTTTAGTGTTTAAGAAATCTTTTAGTTCTCTTGACATGAATGATGCGCCTCGATCAGTGTGAATAAAAGAAGGTAGACCGAATAAGCAAAACAAATCACATAGCTTTTCTATCACTGTGTTAGTCGTCATATCCTGGCACGGAAACGCAAATGGAAAGCGTGAAAATTCATCTACTATAGTCAGCAAGTACCTATTTTTAGAATTTGTTGGCAATGGTCCTTTGAAATCTATATTCAACCTTTTGAATGGAGCAGTTGCTTTTATAAGAGTTGTTTCCTGAGGTCTGTAAAAACGAGGTTTTATTTCCGCACAGGTGGGACACAAAGCAGTCATTCTCTTTATTTCTTCCAAGGAGTATGGTAAATTCCGACTTCTCACCCAATGTGCCATCCTTGTGATTCCTGGATGACAAAGTTGAGCATGCAGTTGATGCAGCTTGTTTGAATTGGTTGATCCACAGACTCGGGATAAGGTATCAGCAACATTATTTTGTTTTCCCGGCCTGTAAATAATGTCATAACTATAGCATGCAAGCTCCAAACGCCATCGAAGTATTTTTTCATTCTTGATTTTGCTTGAGTGGGTGTTATCAAACATGAAGGACACAGATTTTTGGTCCGTAATGAGTTTGAAGTGTCGACCAATAAGGAAATGTCGCCACTTTTTCAGAGCTTCGACTATAGCATAAGCTTCTTTTTCAACAGCAGAGTGTCTTTGTTCACTTGATGATAAGGTTCTTGAGAAAAATGCAACAGGTCGACCGTTCTGGGAAAGGCTTGCTGCAATTGAATGCTCGGATGCATCAGTTTCAACATCAAAGGGGATATCCTCATCAATAGCAGAAATAGCTGATTTGATTATTTCTTGCTTCAGATTTTCAAAGCTTGCGGCAGCCTGAGATGAAACTGGAAACGTTTTAGTTTGTATTAAACAATGTACTTTTTCTGAGTAATGTGGGACCCACTTTGAGTAGTGAGACAGCATACCTATAGTTCTTCTCAGTGAAGCAGTGTCTGTAGGCAGCGGTAGATTCTGTAATGGTTTCAGTCTATCTTGATCGGGCCGGATGGTTTTATTACTTATATCCCAAGAGGTTTATTGACTTTAGCGAATACCTGCTTTTGTTCTCATTAATAGTAAGGCCATATTTCTTGACAGCTTCAAGAAATTTGTCTAAGTTTGCATCATGGTCACATTGATCATTTCCGCATACTGTGATGTCATCGAGATATGCAAAAGTTCCATTTAAATTTTCAGTTCGAATGATATCATCAATTACCCTCTGAAAACAAGCTACTCCATTTGTGACCCCAAATGGAATCCTGGTGAATTGATAAAGTCTACCATCACCTTCAAAAGCTGTATATTGCTTTTCATCCTCTCTAATAGGAATCTGATGGTACGCACTAGATAAATCGATGGTACTGAACACTGAGTATTTTGATACTTTAGAAACTACGCTTTCTATGCTAGGAAGTGGATAAGCATCCAGCAGCGTAAAGCGGTTTATAGTTTGAGAATAGTCTATAACCATTCGTTTCTTATGGTTTTCATTGGTTGTGACTAGAGCTTGAGCCCGCCATGGTGATCGACTTTCTTCAATTATTCCTTCCGACAAAAGTTTTTGAACTTCGCTTCGAATGAAGAGGCTGTCATTCATTGAATGTTTGCGAGATTTAGTCGCTATAGGTCTTATGTTTTCAGTAAGATTGCTGAATAACGGCGGAGGATCAATTTGAGCATGAGCTAGAGCGCATTTTTATGTTTAATGGTGATTTATGTCCTCCAAAATCCATCTGAATTTGTGAGTGATGTTTTAACAAATCGTGACCTATCACAACGTCAGCACATAGATCCTTCAAAACCGCCACTCTTGCTTTGGTGTATGAATGTTCTAAAAGCCTTACATTTACAATGCAATACCCAACAATTTGAGAGCTAAGTGAAGTGGATGCCATTGAAACTCTACCAGAACTATGGAAAAGTCTAATTTTATGTTTAGAAACAAATGCATCACTTAAAAAAGTTTCTGAACTTCCTGTATCTATTAATGCATCGGCTTGAAGATTATCTACAGTGACTGGTACCACAGCTCGTTTTAAACAAGAAGGTGAAGCTGCTGTCACAGTAGCAACGACATTTGGATCAGTCGTAACGGCGTTAGAAGCTTTATTGTTACTCTTTTTGAGATTAGACCTACAGACTTTTGAATAATGGCCTGTTTTAGAGCAGTTCTTGCAGACTGCATCTTTAGCTGGACATGATGCACGTGGATGTCTACCGTATCCACAGAAGTAGCATTTAGAGGTTGTTGCTGAAAGCTGTGACACATCATTCTCAGAAGCAGAATTTACAGATGAAGTAGCATTTACAACAGGATCGACATTAGAATAGCAGACTGACTGATTATGAGCAGCTTCCAAAGCTAGAGCTTGATTACAAGCTTGTTCCAGAGATAGAGTATTATTTTCTAAAAGCCGTTGTCGTATTGAAGAAGATAAAATTCCACTAAGAAATACATCCCGAATAAAGTTGTTTTTATGTTCTTCAGCAGTGACATTCCTTACTTAGAACTTTTAGGGATAGTAGGTATTCACTTTTTTCACTGATAGTCTCACCTGATTTTTGCTTATGTGATGCTAACTGGTACCTTGCGAAGATTTCACTCGTTGGTTTTATAAATATACTGTAGGGATGGTCAAGTCTCGAAATTTCGGGAAATTTTCGGGAAATTTTCTATCTCGTTACCCGAGACGAGATAACTTTTTGGCCGAGATTTTTATCGAGACGAGAATTAAAAAAAAAAAAAAAAAAAAAAAAAAAAAATAAATAAAAACGCCTGCAGAAAGTCAATGCAATACCCGCAATACAGGAGCGTGTTGTAGTTGCGTTTCCTTTTCGAAGGCGTTCTTATTTAATTAATTCTTTTAATGTAAATATTACTTTAATTCTTTTAATGTAAATATTACTTTCATTATTTTAATAATATTACTTTAATAACATTTGAGAAGTTTTGTTAAGTGTAAGCAGTGTGAGGAATGTTTTATTACTATAAAAAAAGTCAAAACAAGTAACTATTTTATAAAAATTAATATTGCTTTTATTTTATGATTTATTTTATTTTAGGACAAGTTGAACTCTATCCTAACTGATATCACCATGTTTCCTAATCGTAGGCATTTTTAAAAAGTTAGGCGTGATTAATAAAAAAATGTTATGCTGATGTTATTTAATGAAAGATTGTAAATATTCTTGCCTATTATCATTATTTTAGTATTTAAACAGTCATCTAACAATGTTACAAAATCAGGTAAAAATTTTGAACGTGCATTTCCCGTTGTGTATGAGAAGAGAAATCTCGTCTCGATCTCGTCTCGAAATTTTATGAGAAATAAAAAATCTCGTCTCGTCTCGTCTCGAACTAAAAATCCAATCTCGTCCATCCCTAATATACTGTTCAGAATCTTGATGGCTTCATCATAGCTATTACATTCAGTTATGAATTCGAAGATAGGTTGGGAAACATGATTAATTAAAAGGTTCAGTTTGTCCTCTGAAGTTACTCTTTCTTCATTTGTTCCAATTTTGTTTACAAAACTTTCAAATGTTTTTAGGAAATGTTTCTAAAGTTTAGCACTGTTGGGAGAACTTGGATCAGTGTCAAATCTATCTGGTTTTAGAAATCTTTCCATAGTTTAAGAGTTAGAGGTAAGGAAAATTAAATTATAAATAATCTAACATTTGAATAATTCAGATTAATAAATTGTAATGAAAGTAAACCCAGATTAATTGTAATCAGAATAAAGGGTTTTATTAATCTGAAAACTGAACTATGAACAATAATGGAATATAAACAAAGCTGAGTATTTACTAATAACATATGACAGTAAACATATTAAATAATCAATCATGTGAGTTAAGTTTAGTTGTATTTATCATTGACTGTAGATTTTATTCACTACACCCTGTCTGCAGTGCAAAGTAATATTACAACCAAACTGAAAATCAAGCTACTTTAGAAGTTAAATGGATTCTATTGACAAAAATTTGAGAGTATTTTGTTATTATGAATATGCCAATTTGGTAAACATTGACATACCCTAACAATATCAAATTAAATAGTCTTGCAATATTTTAAATGGATGTTACTAGCAAATCTTAAACTTGTATCGTGTAAGATCTTTTTTGTGAGAATCTGATCAGGACCTAAAAAATACAAAGTTTCCAACTTCCAATGTTATAAAAAAAAGTAAAATAGAAAAAATAAATATACAAATTACTTTGTTGTAAAAGTGGATATCTTAGTAAAGATTTGTCAAAATTTATTGATTTATTGTCAAAAAATCCTTGTGGACTGACCTTGACTCCATTAGGGAATTTTTTGACCAATTATGAACTTTCAATACTAAGAAAATGTAAACCGTTAAACAATCTAAATGTTAAACATTCTGGATTTTTGTGACGCCATTGTATTTCTTAAAGAAATTACAAATAAAGGAAACTGTCTATTGTCTATCTATTGTCTATTGCCTATTGATACAATTTTTAAATACTGTAACAAGTTTTTTAGTCCACAAAGGTTTTTGCACACCTTAAATGGTATTAAAATACAAAGTGTTATCCTCAATATGATTGATTCTATGAATTAATTACCAAGATGCCTGAGTAACCCAAGAAAATATTTTTTTAATGAGGATAACAGCCGTATAATATTTTAGTAGGCTTACTAACTTACCGCTATATGCCGCTGAAGAAGTTCTTTCTGGGAGAAGGTTTTGTCACATATATCACAAGAAAATGGCTTTTCACCAGTATGGACTCGTTTGTGACGGGCTAGCAGGCTTGGTGTTTTAAAAGGCTTTAGACACACATTACACATGTAAAAACCCTTAGAAATTCGCCTCAATTTGACATCTTCATTCAACTGTTCGATATCATTTTGATCTTGAGTGGGAGCAGGTGTTTCTGATGATCCTTTTCTTCTCTCAGCCAGCATACTATCAATTCGTAATCTCTCAGATAGAGGCCAGTCGTCCAAATCATTTATATCAAGAGGATGTTTTTGATATAAAATCTACAAAAGATTTAAGAATACTTAAAAAACTTATATATTTAAGTATTAAATAAAGAAAAACAAATACCAGTACCAGTACAGTAGAGTCCCGCAAACTCGGCGTAATGTGGACTGGAAGGGTGCCGAGTTTGTGAAATGCCCGGTTATCGGAAACTAATGTTAAAGATAAGAACAATACAATTTTTAAGGTTATTAACTACCTCTTTTACTTATATTTATATTACAAGTTAGTATTAAGTCATCAGATATAGTACAATAAATCATTTGTACGAGCTGAAAATGATTTGACTTGAGCTGGCTTGAGTCCATGTTTAACTCAGACTCAAAAATCACCAATTTTCTGAGCCAGGTAATGGCCGAGTTATCCAGACTGCCGGGTTATTGAGTGCCGAGTTTGCGGCAAGTTGAATAATTGATCTAGACTGCAATCCGATCTAGATCGTCATTTTTTACTTGAAGAATATTCCGGACAATGTACGAGCAGCACACCTCAGACTCACATTCTAGGCTATTAGTCCATAGGCTATTAGCACCACTGCCCCATGCATCGATGTATAATAACTCCCTGGATTGCGCGCTGAGGTTGAAGTAGGGCTCGAAAAACGGTCCGTCGCTGCCTCGCTCTGTCCGCGAGAAACGGCATGAGTCATCCTAGTGGCGAGCGTCGTGCCCGCTCTCGCCGCGTATTGCTATGTTAGTATTGTGGAATTACTACGAGTAAAATTGATTATAACGAACTTAAGGAGGTTTGTAGGCAGATGTAATTAATCTAATTACTTGCTGACACTTTACCGACTATGCATCAAAGTAAATCTCAGAAGATGCTATGAAAGAGTTATATTTATTTATAACCTATTTGAACATTGGCCAGAACAAAATATCACAATAATTATTTGATCACATAAGCATGTCATCATTTGCTGCGGTGAGCCCTAATTATTATTGAGAGACTTAGCAACATGTAAGAATATACATTTTGGTTATTACAGTATGTTTCTTTGTCATACGTGTTTGTAAAATATATTATATGTTGTTAAATAAAAGGAGTGTATAATATTTTATGCCAATATCTCCAATCCATTGATTATTCTCAGTAAAGTAAAATTATCACAAAATATTTTCTCAGATTAATATTAAATACTACTGTGAATCCAAAATGTATTTTTTGATTCAACGATTTTTTTTAAACTATAGACTACGGTAAGCAATAAAATGCATAAACATACGCTTGTAAATTTAGTTACCCATCCTTCGTGTAATGACATATTTAATGTGTATAATGATAATTAAATGCCAGAAACTCGGTATCTAAATCCCGTAAACAGATGCCTAGCCGGCCGTGCTCCTAGCGCCAATTCCGCACCAAGCGATTTAATGCCTATTTTTAATCGCTTAAAAATGATACAAGCAAACTCCGTATCAAAAAAGCTTCAAATAAAAAATAAAATTCATACTTTAATCTAAAACTTTGCCGCAGGAATATTTTTCCTGACCAAAAAATTAAAAAGTTCCTCGCTTACTACATTTTTCATGTTTTTAGTTGTGCTAAAAAAACGATCATCAGTTTTAATTTGCCTAAATAAATTATAAAAAATATGTTTAGGTTAAAACAAACTACGGTATACAGTAAGTAGCACTGTCTTTTCCAAAAAATAAAAATAAAAATTTGAAATTTGTACGTTGGCAAATAAGTAAAGCAGGGCAGGTTGAGTGAAAGTATGTTTGTGTAAAAGACAGAGGTTCATACGGCCCGTCCACCTCGGTATCGCACCAATTCGATTGGTGGGCACGGACCGTTTTTCCACCACACAGTGTGCTATCCAGTAGAGCTATATCTATATCTATATCTATATATCTATATATATATCTATATATATCTATATATATCTATATATCTATATAAGCTATATCTTCATTTTATACATCGATGGCCCCATGTTGTTGCTCCAATTGAGACATTTACAAAGTGTTGTTTTGTTAAATTTTCTAATTTACTAGTCAATGTTCCATTCTGTTTTCAACCACATAAACAAATACCCCCGCCGCAGCAAACCTGCCGTCTAAGCGAATTTCCATTTGGCTGAATTGATTTTCAATCGATCTATTTAAATAACATTAGCTTTAACGAGTACCTAGGTTTGCTGCTACAAGGAAACTAATAAAGTGTGTGTTTTAAGTAAAATAATTATTGCTTAGTAGAAAATTAATATATTTGCCAAGTTTGATCAAAAGATATCCATAAACACGCAAACTACAACATTTTACAATATTCTCCATAAGAATAACATGGGAATTTTAAATTTACAATTTTTTTAGTTTTCTCCGTAACCAATAACCGTACACAAACACTTTGATGTACTGAATTTTTTGTTTTTTTAAGCTCTTTAAGAAGGTTTAGAGAAAAATTGGGAAATTTTGTGTTTTGTGGTTCAAAAGTGAGAAAAACAAATTTTTACCCCATAAAACCCCCCATAAAACCCTGTTCCCATGGTCCGATCATGCTGGATCGCGAACTCATTCAAGTTTATCCCGCCTTACATCTTCAAACCAAATTTCATCAAAATCGGATAAAAATTACTCAAGTTATCGTGTTCACGGACACATATATATATAAATCTATATATATATACATATATAAAAATTTGAACGAATGGTGTTTTTGGCCTCTGGGGACATCAAAATGAAAAAGTAAATTGGTCCCAGGCCTAAGTCTTACCATGAGACCTACGGTAATAGCTACGGTACTTCCCTATAGGGAAATTCGCTAAAAAAGGAAGCAAGCTGGAGATGAAGGGCTTAGCTCCATCACCATCTTCAATTTTTATTAACCATTGTGATTGTAGCTTTTGTTCAATAATTGCTATGGCAACGGCCCTCCTCGATCCAGAGACACCCCTTTAGTTTAGGCTGTTCCAAAAATAGTACGCCATCCTAGATTATCCCAATATTTTTCTTACAAATCTTAAAATCGTATTTTAAAACATTTTACCCCTCATTGAAAAAAGTATAAAATTTAATATTAAATCCCAAGTTATTAATAATGTTACAAAACAAATAATTTATATTTTAATAACAAATGTTAATATCCACCCGTTACCCTACACACCGAATGTGAAATACTGGGTTGGTGATATGTATAGGCCTATCGGTTTGCGTGTGTGTGCCTACACAGCTCGCCACAGGGACTGAGCAGAGAGCTTGGAGCTAAAACATTGGTTTTTGGTGACTCGATGGCCGTACAAATGATTGTGTGTTTGGGGGAGGGGGGGGGGGTGTAATTTAAGTGTGAACCACTATATGGGACGTTTTTAAAATCTCAGTGAAACACGCCTTTTCAACTATTACCTAGGTCTTTGATATTGCTGGTACAGTAATTATTTTTTTAAATATTTTTTGGTAAGTTTATCTACTCTTTCCTCTCGAAAGCATTTAAATTAATTTATTTAGTTGGGCCTATGTGTGACAGCTAAGGTTATGTTTTTGTGACTGAAAGTTATCATTCCCAACAGTTAAATTTATAATAGGCTAATATATTTTACTCATAATAACTCACCTTGCTAACATTACGACAGGTCTGTTTAACTTTGTAGTTTCCTCTCTTGGAAAGTAAGTTAATTTCTACTTTAGGAGCTGCCTTCGAACGTAAGTTGGTTCCTTCTTTAGGAGCTGTCTTCGATCGTAAGTTGATTCCTTCTTTAGGAGCTATCTTGGCAGGTAAGTTAATTACTTCTTTAGGAACTGTCTTGGCAGGTAAGTCAACTCCTTCATTTGGTGCTATTTCAGTAGAAATGTTCTTATAATTGTTGTTTAAAGACTGGGTCCTAGGCACTGTGCAAGTGTTACTCAGAATTCCTGGTGTTGCTGATGAAATTACAGCTGCTAGTGGTACTTGATCATCCCAAGAAATAGTACATTCTTCTTTAGCAGGTTGTAAAAATATTAGATTCTCTTCAAGAGATGAATCCCATTCCTAAAAAAATACAATTATAAAGGATGATGCAAAAATAAAGCATTCATTTCAAACTATTCAAATTAAATATGGCTTTAATTAAATTAGTGCCATTAGTGGAACCCCGTCGAAATCAACGGTTAATCTTGAGGGTTTATGTAAATTCAGCTAACTGCGATGGATAGAGTGAAGTCATTAAATCTTAGTTAAGGTGGTGCAAGGGGTTTTTTGAAAATAATATTTTTGCATATTATTATATTGCATACGATTTGACTAGCTCTTCATAAACACAAAAAAATATTTAAAAAAATTTTTTACATTAATTTTATGATTTAATGTCCTCTAAAGTTGCTGTTTTATGAAGTATTGGGGTGACTCCAACCCAAGCATCTTAAGAGTGTAACTTTTCATATTTGGTAATTCCTCATGTATAACTATAAAGATCATAATGACATATTTGAAAACATGGACAAAAATATTTTTAATTTTTATGACCTCTTAAATTTTTGACAATAACAAGATTTCAACCATTTAAGTTTAGAAAAATATGTGTTTATCTTCGGATATGTTTGAACTTTATAATTATATGAATTTAAAGTTAAAAAAAATTTTTTTGCAGCCAGGGTGGTCATCCCAAAGTCGTATTATTGAGCATTATAATGCCTTCAAAGAGTAGGCTGCATCCCGCGCATCTCTCCGCCCTCGCCCAGCGCGCACGCCCGAGCACGCGCGCGGGCCGTGGGCCTTCCCAAGGTCGACACTACAACATTGCTACAACCCTCAACAGCACCAGCGGGCAATGCAACACGAGTTGAACTGAACGATGGCCCACCCGGTCCGTTACCAGTGATTTTTACCTTTGGTTTACCTTACTGGGAAATTCATCTTGGTACCAGACAAATCATATTCTTGGACTCAAATATTAAAATATAATTTTTAAAAGTATTGATTTTGCTTGTTTGATGTTATGTCGATATAAAGATTTAATATCAGCAACGCATATTTAAATTATGTGATTCATCAAAGGCAATAAAGATTCTAATCCCGATTATTGTTCAATCAAAAATTACTTTTGAAAAGTATGTGAAATGAAAATTGTAAACAAACTAGAAGAATGTAAACATATAAATTGAAGTCAGCTGTAAATGATTTAATCTAACATTAATCTGACATGTTAATCTGAAAATTCTGTCCTCACTAGGTGGAACTGTACCACCCTGTTTAAGAAAAATTAAACATACAATATCAAATGTTTTGCTTAAAATGTATATAAAGGCCCAAAAAAGCGATATAATAACATCTCTGTGTTTTTTACAAATTGTTTCTCTTCACTGAGAACCATTTTGTAACTATTTTAATCACCCTAAAATGTATCCACACAAATTGTTATTAATTGAATCTGTGCTCTAATGACTCCGCTCAATTTTGTAGACGCGTCTGCGAGCGCCGCCTAGTTATCTAAAATTGTCCCGCTATATCTTAGTTACTTCCTCTGTATTTGTTTACAAACAAAAGGTTTTGGTTGACAGCTGATAGAATATGTTAATATGCCAGACTTGGTGCCAAATATCTAGAGATATGGAAACTGTTGGTACCTGAAGCAGTTGGAGTGATTGGAAGTTATTGTGATACCACAGCTGGGGGGATTGACCTGTTTGTTTATACAGTAGTTGGGGTTTCCAAGAAGCTCTGCCCGTCTCGACCGCTATTGTCGGGTTCGGTGGAGTACGAGTATTTTCACTAGCTATGTTCAGTTCTGATTGATCTCTGAACAGAGGTGGTTTTCCTACAGTATAGTGCTGAATTTTGTGGTGATTTGTGTGATTTGTATTTTAAAGTGATAATTTCGGTTTATTAGTTTTTAGTTATATATTTTTAGTTAGCTTATTAGTTTAGAGGTGTTTGTGTCATAATGCCCAGGAAAGTAATTAGGCATAAACGGACCAAAAGATCTCAAGTTGTAAGGCTTGTTAAAGCGAGGATGAAAAGTTTAAAAAGTTCAACTGAAGTGTCAAATTTCGATCAAAATGAAGACGGCGAGGTTGATCTCAGCGGTACTTCTGAACAATCCAGGTGAGAGTTTTTCCTAAACAAAGACTACGTTTATCGAATATTATATTTGAGGAAAAGTTTCAGGACGGACGAAATTTTGAAGAAAGAACATGTTTGATTTTTTAAATAATTTAATTAATTGTTTATGAATTGTCCATATTTGTTTTAGAATGTAGAATTAGAATGTAATCAGCGATCGCTCAAATAAGGTATTTTGATTGTTTGTAACATTTTGTTTGTTTTTCGCTGTAATCATGAAGCAACTCAAGTTATGATTAATGGTCAGTGGTCATAGCTCACATTTACAAAACTGCCTATGTAGTTTTTTCTGGTGGTGATTTGGTGGTATTTGCAAAAAAACCCCTATTTTTTTCTTGATGCAAACCTGCGTACTTTGCCCCAATGTTGATCTTAGAATACGCAAATGGAATATAGATATAAATATATTTTTATCAAACTTGGCAAGCAGCTTTATGTGGTCTTGAGAGATTGCATTGGAAATTCGCTGAGTACGCAGGTTTGTTGTGACAGGGGTAATATTATAATCTGGGGAAATCGGTGCTAAAGTTATAATGCAGAAATTAGTACAACAAATAAAAAAAGTAATCATAAACAGCTATTACTATTTGAAATGAGGACTACCGAAACCATGTTATCTCGAATTTACTCTATTTTCCTACGATTAGTGTGTACAAAAAAAATTTCGCGTAAACACCGTACGTTGTTCAATATGAAAGTATAGTTTAGCGTTGCATATTTGTTTTAGTACTTTGGTTAAAAGTTATTTATTATATATTGATAAATATTTATTATATGAATATTGATTTACGCATTTGTTTAAAATTTCATCCAAATGCGACTTTTTTACTAGAGTTATCGCATAGTTAATACAGTGAGACCTTAGTTTCGGCCAGGCTGTAATGAAAATCCTTTTCAGGGACGTTACATGAGACGCTAATAGAAGACGTCAAAGAAAAATGTTAATTTATCAGACAGCAAGCGAAATGGTTGATCCACGAATAAAGTAGTTATGTACAATTAAAACGTACAGTTTTGAACATGACGTGTTTTTTTGTATTGTGTGTAACCGAATGTGAATATGTGTAACAAAATCTGAAGCGTTGTTTATTTTTCAGATTACAGTGCGACATCCCGATGATTGAGGAAGACGAAGCCTACGGTGACACGGAACCTGATGATCCATTGCCCCCACTAGTTATAGAGAAGTGTCAAGAACCCGCGAGTAAGATTTTAAATGGCAAGAGGATTGTGGACGTAGAACACGTATTCAAACAGTTTGAATTTGTAGCTTCTCAATCAAAAAGATGTACAATGGGGAAATTTAGTTTCCAAAAAGAATTTCGTAATGGATTGTCTTCTACTTGGACATTTTATTGTGATAACTGTGAGAAAGAATACAAGGTTTCTTCAGTCCCACTTGAAGAAAAAAATGATATAAATGACGCTCTGGTTTGGGGAAACTAAAAAAGAAAAAACTTCTAGGAAACTCCAAACAACGGTGAAAACTCGTGGCTGGTAACAGCTTGTTTGTCCTTAGATTATGATATATGTATGATAGATGATATCTCCTTTTTTATAGGTTTAGAATTATTCGCGTATGTGATTTGTTCTATGTAAATCAATATTTGTATATAAGTTAAAGATTGTATTTGTATAAAATGTAAACATATGACCTAAGTGTTGAAACATGTCGTTTGCTAATTAAAATGTTTTGAAAAGGGTACTAATGTTTTATAATGTTTTTAATTATTTGTATATAAGTGTATTTCAAAGTATAAACTGATCGCTATATTACGATTGGGATATTTGTTACCAATATGCTATGTTCTTTTGCAGTTTAGGGCTACTATAATACACTGTAAGATTTTTAAAATAAAAAAACAAAGTACCCTGTAAATCTTTTTGATAAATATTGTTAGTAAAAATATATTTCAAATTTAATACTTTTATATTAAACATTTTTAGGATAATTACAAAATTGAGGTAATTTCCTGTATCAATGTACATATTCGGCATTTGTAAAGTAGATTACTGTAGCGTATTTATAACAAAGACAAATGATCGTTGTGAATGATTTTAATTTATATTATTGTATTCAGGGTATTATAATAAATTTAAGAAGAGCTTTATTCAGTTTATATAATTATGCTCGTATATATCTGGATAGCTTTTTATTTGTAAATATGTTCACACTTAGCCTACTGTATTTTGAGTTTTTTCCCTTTATCGTTAATGTATTTGACTTGTAAGTACATAACAACTCTAATTAAATAATTTAATTATTTGACTAATGTGTTTTTGATCACCCAGTGCAGTACTGTTAATATAATTTATATACCTACTACCACAGAAAACATATAGTAATATGTTTTCTGTGCTACTGCATAGAAGACCTTTGTACTTTTAGCTATTGAAAGAGTTGAAAACGTTCATCAAATTAATTTAATTGATTTGTTACCATAACTATATTTGATCCATTACTTGTCAGTTAAATTACTAATTGCAGTGCAAACAATGATCGACTCTTGGTATAATGTGGGTGTAGAAAAAATGATTAACTGATACGTGGTTGAAATGCAATCAAATCTATAAAGATAACTTTGTAGGACTATTATTGACATCATTTACAACGCGTATTAACTATTTTGGAGTAAAAAAGTTAAATCAATAACTAAAAGCATTCATTAGTTATATTTTGATCATAATAGTAAAATAAAAGTACATTATTTGTAATTTGTTGCAAGTGGTTAGGTGGTACGTCAACACGAGAAACCTCCAACTCCACAGTTTCTTTACTGCAAGAGAACAACAACTTTTAGTTTGTAAGGGGATGGTCACTCCCGAGGTGGAATATACAAAGAGAGAGAAAGTCAGGGTGAGTTTCGTAGAATATTCCCTTTGTGCGACGAGAACTACCCCGATCACGCCACCCGGATAACGGCAACCTC